GACCCTGAACCACCCAGTCCTGGTTTACTGGTTTAGATTAGACCCTGAACCACCCAGTCCTGGTTCATTGGTTTAGATTAGTCCCTGAACCACCCGGTCCTGGTTTCCACAGAGGTCTGACCATCAAAGCTAACGTTAGCCACATTAGCCTACAACACGCTAGCACTGAGGAGGTCCCATCAGAGCTCCCGGTGCACCCTACCCCTAACCCAGATGTGTACTGCAGCTCGTTGATGTAGCACACAGTGTGCCCGGCAGCAGTCAGCCGGTTCTCAGCGCTGCTACCTTCACTTCTCTGTCCTTGTCGGCTTGAAAAGGTGCACAAATAACAACACATTTGCAGGTATCTGTGGCGTGGTTGTGGTGGCCGACGTGTTGCGTGTGCTGCTGTGTCCTCCAGGCCGTGCTGCCCAGACACTGGACTCGCCTCAGCCATCTGACCGGCCACAGCTTCCAGGTGGAATCAGAGAGTTTCTCCCTCAGAAACATCATGGAGGCGCCGCTGCTGAAATACAAGGAAGACATCGAGGTACTGGTGCTGCTAACGCCATGTGGACCGGAACACAGTCACAGTGAAAGTGAAAAACTTCTGCCTCCTCCTCAGGTTCTGCTCTTTGATCTCAATTCAACCGTCAGGTCCAGGTCATAGTCGGCAGTGTTTCCTCAGAGAGACGGAGAGGAAAAACCCAACACACAAAAACACAAAACAGAGACACGAAATGACACAAACAAAACAGAAAACAACAAAACTGTGTCCCAAAGACACACAAGACGAGCAAATAAAACCACAGACATGAAACCACACGAACGAGACAAAAACAAACACAAAGAGACAAAACTGTCCTAAAGTCACATAAAATGACCAAAACAAAAGAGAAACGCCCCAAAAATTAGACTGAACGTTTCCAAAGAGACACAAAACGACACGAACGAGATCGAAACTCAGAAAAACGACACAAACACATGAGATGAACATAAATGACAGAAAGTTAGCTCCTAAGATGAGCAGCGGTAAGCCTGAGCCCTGAAGAGCAGTCATCCTGGAAACATGGAGCAGTCCTGCCAAGTCCAGGATATCTCACGTGGAAATTCTTGTATAAAGATGTGAAAATGATTCTCCTGTGATTGTAATGATCCTGAAACTCCAGACTAGTCAGAAGGTTGACGTGCCGCTGTGCCTCAGGACGTGTGCATCGGCGCCGTGAAGGAGCAGGACATCGAGGCCAAGCTGAAGGACGTCGCGGCCGAGTGGAGCAGCCGGACGCTCAGCTTCGCCACCTTCAGGACCAGAGGGGAACTGCTGCTCCGAGGGGCCGAGACCGCCGAGATCGTCTCCGTGATGGAGGACAGTCTGATGGTGCTGACGTCGCTGCTGAGCAACAGGTGGGAGAGTCGTAGCTAGTCTGCTGACAGTTTAGTGTTAGTCACCAAAATCTGGTTGTCCTGCAGCAGAAACACCATCTGGCAGAAAAACTGAGAGTTAAACCCAACCTACTGGATCAGAACCAGAGACAGACGAGCCAGTTGGTGGAGATACATTCAGCTGATGGTGGAACATCTTTCTACATCTGATGGTGGAACATCTCTAGAGAAACCACCCTGATGAAACACCTCCAGAACGTTCTCAGAGCGTTTTTAGAACTGAACAAGTTCTGGTTGAAATGATGAGAAGCGTGTTTGTGTTGTGACAGGTACCGCCTGCTGACCTGCAACACTTCCTGTTTGAACCTTTCTTCCATCTTAACAATGTTCTCCGTTTGCTTCGATGAACCGCGTCAAACTCCTCGTATGTGAAAACCAACGAGGCAAGAACATCACGTCTGATTAGCATTAGCGTTAGCATTAGCAGCTACCTGTTCATTACAGATTGCTGCCTTCCTGACAGCAGCGTATCAGACTGACAGTGAGGTTAGCATCCACATCCCCTGTGTTAGCGTGGCGCTAGCTTACCTTTCCATAAACTTGCTGTTTGTCTGAGTTTAGCTCGTAGGTCTGTTTGCTTTAGTTTCCTTGCTGACGTTGATGCGTTCTTGGAGCTTCTTTGCTTCCAGCAGCACAGCAGGTCAAACCGATGAATCCACCGAGCCGCTCAACTAAAAACAGAAGTCCGTCCGTCCACTCTTCCTCCTCATAGAGAGAATAAAACAGCTCGAGTGTTGTTCTCATCGTGTTTGCTGTTGATGCTGACACCAGAGAGGACGCATGAGGCAGTGAAACAAACTCAGAGAGACGAGGAGGAAATGAAAGCTAAGGAGAGGAGTGGGATGGATGAGTGAATGAATGAACTGCGCTCCTTCGTCCTGAAGGTACAACGCTCCGTTCAAGCCGTCCATCCAGCTGTGGGTCCAGAAACTCTCCAACGCCTCCGAGGTCATCGAGAAGTGGCTGTCGGTTCAGAACCTGTGGATCTACCTGGAGGCGGTGTTCGTGGGCGGCGACATCGCCAAGCAGCTGCCTCAGGTTAGTTTGTTAAACGTTGTCTCTCACACAGGACAGAACTTAGAGTTGACCTGTAACTCCTGCAGGAGGCCAAACGCTTCCAGAACATCGACAAGTCCTGGCAGAGGATCATGCAGCGAGCGCACGAGCTTCCCAACGTGGTGCAGTGCTGCGTGGGAGACGAGGCGCTCAGCCAGGTGAGCAACACCTGCAGCGTCTCTTCAACAAATAGCCAAAGTGACAACATCTGTCAGCCACAAACCGCCAAGACAGGAAGAGTCACAGACTGACCGACAGTCTGCACATCCGGATGTTTCATCAAAATCACTTTAATCTGAATGTCTAAAGATTCCTCAAAGTAAAATGTGCACCAAAAGGATTTTATAAAAACCAGAACCTTCCTCCTCCCGGTTCTGACCCTGTTCTTCTCTCTTCTTGGTCCTCCAGCTGCTGCCTCACCTGCTGGAGCAGTTGGAACTCTGTCAGAAGTCTCTGTCCGGTTACCTGGAGAAGAAACGCCTGGTGTTTCCACGCTTCTTCTTCGTGTCCGACCCTGCGCTGCTGGAGATTCTAGGCCAAGCCTCAGACTCACACACGATCCAGGTAACACACACAGGTAACACACACAGGTAACACACACAGGTAACACACACAGGTAACACACACAGGT